AGCAGAATTTTGCGACTGCGGTTGAGGTGGTGACCCTGGAAAAATGTCTGTTAATTTTGAAAATTTAAAAGAAAAACTTGTTTCTTCTGCATTGGAGTAGTAACTGGTACGAATAGCTAAGCCAAGGCAAAAACAACAATCAGCAAAATCGTACTTTCGCCAAAACAGTTTTTAGTTTAGCACTTGAATGCAAACGATTCCAGTCCTTTTGGAACAGCAGTTGCTACGCGTATTGTGAAGACAACCAGCTATGTAAACGAAAACTGGCTCCGTTCAACAAAAACGCTGAGTTTGGCAGAAAAATAGCAGGAAAAAAACATAATCGTCTAAACCTTTGCAAGCTTGAATAAATGAAACTTACATTGTTGCTGTGGTGGGGACCAGTCATTATTCGAACTCATTGAAATCCTTCTTGGGGCGGGAACTTCAAAGGTTCGTGATGGACTTTGAGCCTAAATTTTGGTTGTATTTAGCGAACTACAGCTTAATCGCCAATGTTGTGATCAACAGTGCATGGAATCCTAATAAGATGTTTTACCGAATAAGCTCCAGCTGCTGGAAGTTGTCCTGCAGGAAGTTCTCGATAAGGATTTTTTAGTGTCGCATGTGGATAGCGAGATCGGTAAATTCGCTGCTGCTCCTGGAGATATTGTTGAGAGAATGTAATGCAGTGAAAATTAATTCGCCTCTCACCAAAAAATCATCATATTCCTCGATTTCAGCAAGAAGATTGTTATATTCTGGCTCTCTCTGAGTTGGTGGTGGTTTCGGCCTAAACATGTGGATTTGAATGAACAGTAATTGGATAAGGGTAAGACTATAGTTGAGACATGGAAATGCTTAGGTACCTGAATATAAATGGTGGGTAGCGTTCCTCCCGCTTTGTGCTTTGTTGGAGATTTCCCACATGAGCGCTACGGGAATGTTCTGCAGAAAATGGTTGGAGTGGAACAAAGATAGAAGAGGGAGCGATAATTGTATAAGCAGCTTACCGTACTGTTTTGGTTTTGATGATGATTTTGAGAGTTTTCGTTGTTTCTAAATAATTTGTTAATCAGATATGGAATGACATTGGATGGACACCACTCTTTGCTTACAGGGGAATTCTGTCGCGGTAATCGAGCTTTTTTGATGTGTTCAGCCAGCTGATGTGCTTCTACTGCAGATGAATGTCGAATTGCAGGATCTTCTATAGAGCGATCATCCTTAAATATTTTATCATCAAAAAAAAACTAATGCTCCTCTTTTTATTGGTGGAACGATGCTTACACTGTACTCATCCTCTTTAACTGGAATTTCTTCAAGTTGTCCTTCAACAGTATCTCGTTCAGGTTGTGAGAAATCACGAATTTTTGTGCCTTGAATCTGAAGAAGCAAGCATACATTTGATGCAAGACGTTAAGGCCGTTGAGAAGAGATCATTTGGGACAGCTGCTTCAATATAGCTATAAATGCAACGATCAAAAGTTTGTTATCCACTCTGGACCCTCCGATGATTATTACGACATTATTCCAATGTTGCTTGAAGGTCGTAGTTTACGTTAGAATTTTTAACAGTAATTCTAAATTTATATACGAACCTGATTTCTGATAATGTGATCTTCTTCCGATTTTTGATCTTTATTGTCAGGTTGGAATACGCCATCGTCATCAAAGGTGCCATGTAATCTAGAATGACCGTCTCATATAGTGATTTTGTGCAAATTATCCGATTAAAACAACGGCTGCTTTTTCGAAAAAGG